GTTCATCGCTGGCCCAGAAGCTCAGCAGTGGGGAGCCTGATAGAACAGGACTGAGGGGTCCAAACCTACCGGCCCCTTTAAGACACACACTTAGGAAAGTGCGTCTAGATGTGCGTACACCCCCAAGAAGGGATTCTGAGACTGGATCACACCAGCCTTGGTCTCCTCCCCAGACATATTTTTTTTTTCTACAAAAATAATGTCATAATACAGATGTTGTTTTGTAACTATTATATTCATCTTCAAATATTATAAATACTTCATATCATTAGATATTTTTCTACATCTTCCAAAAACAGTGGTTATATAATATTACGCTCTGCAAGAGTACTTCAAAAAGTCTGTGGAAAAATAGAATTAAAAGATAACATGAATCTTTCCACGAACTTTTTCAAGTAGTCTTTCACACTTAGCACCGTGGCAGACGCGGAAAGATAAACCTCTACTCCTAGCCCTGAGAATATGTTAGGTGAGTAAGAATTCTAAGACCAACAGGCACAGACTGGGGAGTTTTGCTTTTTTAGAATCTTCTTCAAACAATGTACCAAAATAAGGGCCTTAGCTTACACAGTTATGCAAAATAGAATATGCCCCTGAAGGTCCGCATTTCCTTGTCTGAGGACACACCCCAACAGCCACTTTTAAGGTCAAAAGGACCACTGCATTTCCATGACCAAAGATGCCAACAACTGTCTTCTTCTGAGTTCATCGCTGGCCCAGAAGCTCAGCAGTGGGGAGCCTGATAGAACAGGACTGAGGGGTCCAAACCTACCGGCCCCTTTAAGACACACACTTAGGAAAGTGCGTCTAGATGTGCGTACACCCCCAAGAAGGGATTCTCAGACTGGATCACACCAGCCTTGGTCTCCTCCCCAGACATATTTTTTTTTTCTACAAAAATAATGTCATAATACAGATGTTGTTTTGTAACTATTATATTCATCTTCAAGTATTATAAATACTTCATATCATTAGATATTTTTCTACATCTTCCAAAAACAGTGGTTATATAATATTACATTTATACATACAGGATAATTTATTTAACTGTCTCCTATTGTTGTAAAATTAGGCTGCTTTGATTTTCTATACTATAGAAAATTCTTCAATAAGCACCACTACATACATTCGTGCTTATAAAAATAGTACACACTCTTTGTATAAAGTTTTCCCACCCTGCCTGCCTTTAAGCCTCTGCCAAAACCAAATGCTGCGTCTGACTTGCTTGCAAGCTCTGAATAACAGTCTTTGCTTGTTCTCTTCTGGGGGTCTTCAATTAATTCCACAAGGGAAAAGAAAGTGGAACCAAACCAACCAACAAACGAAAAACAAACACGGTTCTGGGCCCAGCCCGTGGCGCACTCGGGAGAGTGCAGTGCTGGGAGTGCAGCAGGGCTCCCGCCCCGGGTTCGGATCCTATATAGGGATGGCCGGTGCGCTCACGGCAATTCCACAAGGGAAAAGAAAGTGGAACCAAACCAACCAACAAACGAAAAACAAACACGGTTCCGGGCCCAGCCCGTGGCGCACTCGGGAGAGTGCGGCGCTGGGAGTGCAGCAGCGCTCCCGCCGCGGGTTCGGATCCTATATAGGGATGGCCGGTGCGCTCACGGCGCTCACTGGCTGAGCGTGGTGCAGCCGGTCTCAAAAAGGACACACACACCCACACAAAAACACGGTTCTGAAGGCTTTTGCTAAGTGTGTGATTTTCCATAGCCTGGAATTTTAGGATATTTGGGGTAATCGCTTATCTTTTTCCTATCAGGTCCAAGCTCAAGCACTGTCCGACTATCAAGCAGGAAAAAGATTAGAGAACTCCCGAGGCTGCTAATATCATTAAACACTGTCACGTTGTTTGAGAGATCCACTCCAAAACTGGGCTTAGATGTCAATAAAACATTATTCTTCAGTGAGAGAAGAACAGGATATCACCAGTCTCGAAGACATAAGGCACCACAGAACAATCATCTAATTCGCCACCTCTGGTGGTGACGGTCTTCCAAAAATGGCTTATCATGGTTCCCTTTCTTCCTTAAATTAAAAACCTCTGTCCTTTCCTGAAAGAGGCGTAGAATCCCCTCCAAAGCCTCCCTCCCTGTGTCCCTCCAAGTTCTCGACAACCAAGCCCAGTCCTTCCCCAGAACATGTCACAGCACCCGTATCTCCCTGCGGGCCACCTCGATTTCCAATTTAACACTGTTTGACTGAATGTGGCTGGCTGAGAAGTTTAAGAAGAGTAGAAACTCAAGTGGACAAACCGAATAAACTTCACTTACGTCCTGAAGGGAAAATGAGAATAAAAGACTAAAACCGATCAGATACCAGGGCCTTTCACCCAGTTTCATACCTGAACCCTCGCAGTGAATCCGCAACATATTATCACCCTGCTTTACTGTGGAAACCGTGACTCGGGCGCACTGGGTAAGCTGTCCAAGCTCACCCAGCTGGCACTTACTGCAGAACCAAAGTCTGTCCCTGGGTTACCTGGTCCCAAAGCCAGTGCTTCCCGGGAAGACACTCGTGTCCTCTGGATAACTGCTGTCCAGTACAGTAGCCTGCAGCCACATATGGCTATTTAAATGAATTAAAATTTAATAAAATTTAAAATGCAGATTCTCAGCGGCACAACTCCCATTTCAAGCATTCAATAGCTACACGTGCCTGGGGGCTACCCCTCAGGATTGCAGTGTGGAATATTTCCATCACCCAAAAGTTCTAACAGACGTGCTGACCTAGAGCTATGAGTTTTTACACTGAAAAGTGTTTATCTCAAAGTTACCCCTGCTCTCATGTACTGCCTATGCTTGCTAAAAAGTTTAACTGAGGAAAACTGCTCAGAGCCACCAACATGGAGCCAGAGGATCCCCTGGCTGTCCCAGAAAGCAGAGATTGACCCACAGCAAAGAAACTGCCCTAGCACCAAGAAACACTGCAACCTGCAGCAGAGAAAATGAGCTGCTATGTGCAACCACAACTTCCAGCAACCAGTAGCCCCATCCAGACACTGGTACGTGTAGACACACTATACTCAAAAATCACAGAATCATAGACATTTAAACATAAAAGGCTTTCTGAAAACTCAAGTCCAGTAACGTCATCTTCTCGATGTGGAAACTGAGGCCCAGAGATATAAACTAACCTGAAAACAAATGCACCTTATCTTCATACAGGAAATACAGTTTAATCTTTATGAGCAGAGACTCTGGGACAGGAAAGACTGCCTGGGATCAAAGCTCAGTTCTGGCACTTCCTGAACTTATTAGCTGCACTTGGGAAAGTCAGTGAGAATCCCTAAGCCTTATCTGCAGGACAGCAGTGATAGCAGCATCCGCGACGTAAGGTTGTACGAGGACTAAGGAGTTGATATGAGGGGACTGCATCATTTATCATTCAAGCTGGAGACAATCTGAGAAGGGAAGTCAGCGCTATTAATGATTATGTTGGCAAAACACGTGTCAATGAGGACCCTCTCAGGCAAACCACGATGTTACAGTCGCCCTCATTAATGCACGTAAAGCACTCAGCACAGCGCCTGGCATATATTAAGAGCTGTACAAGTGTGTGTTATTAGCATGTTTGCAACTTGGGATGATCAGGGAATTCTGCATTTTATAATGGAATTCAGTCGGAAAAGGAGAAGCACTTAACAGAAACTTGCTTTATGATCACCTCTCCCAGAGCACATCTATTCTATAAAGGAAGAGACATCTATTGTGAGTTCTTGTCACTGCAGTAAAATATAACGGCTTAATTCCCTGGAAATAAATATTCTTGCCTTCTAAAGAAGCCAAAAATTCATTACCCAGCCCTAGTTTCCTGGCAGCCTAAGCCAGTAGAGCTGTAGATGCTCATGACAGAGCTCAGAACTGGTGTGTTCTGCAAATATCAGTGGCAAAACCAGGCAATACTTGTTGCACTATTTGCAAAACCGATCCCAGAAGGCAAAGGACAAAGAGCCGTGTGCACGGTCATTGGAACGGAACCACGTGGAGGCGCACACCTCTGGGAAGCCGGCTTCCTTCCTCCTGCTCTGCGGAGCCATTTGGCTGGGTGGACGCCACCGCCTTGGAAGTGTTAATTGATTCTAGCAGGGAGACAAATTCCAGGAAGGTGGACTCATTTGGTGTTTGTCCTTCCTTAGCCTCTAGGTCAGATTTGGAAGTTGGTATTATTTGCTCTTTATCGTTCATAACGTCTACGGATCCTTTACTCAAGAAGACGTCTGTCCCACTGTCCACACTCAGCACCCGGGCATGTCTCTTCTCATGGGGGCTCTTACAAGATGACGGGTCGAGGGTGGCCTGGCCTTCCTTTCCCCCATCAGCCCCGGAGGCCACATCAGGTGTGAGCGGGGGGGCTGCTTCCCAGGGGTCCCTCGGGGAAGGACTGAAGTCCTTGGTGGCAGTTGTCCCCTCCCCAGATCCGTAGCCAGAACAGTGATTGGAGGACACCTCCAACTTCAGTCTCTCTGGGGTCCTCTCACTTCCATTCTCTTCGGGACAAGAGACACTGCCACCCTCATCCTCAGACAGTTCCAGGGTGATGACGGGAATTCTGATCTGCTCGGTGTTTGGAGGACCTGCCACCCCTGGCGCAGCTGGCTCTGCGTCAGACTTGAACCCAGTCCTCTCTGCGCCGATCACCTTCAGCTGGAGGGAGCTTTCCAAGTCTGTCATGGAGTTCGCGGTACTGCTCATGGTGATGACAATTTTGATGGGCTCATGCAGACTCAGTGGGTCTCCGGGTTGAGAAGTGTCAATGAGAGTAACGGCGACCTCGCTCTCTGAGTAGTCCCCCTCCCGGGTCAAGGGCATGTCCACCTGACGGGAGGGGTCCGCCGGCCCCTCTGTGGGTTTGGCCATGATGGTGTGGCACTGCGGGCAGCTGCTGCTCAGGCTGTCCCCAGGCGACTTGCTTTGTGACAGTTCCCTCAGGGAGCCCTGGGGACTATGTACAGGTTCTGGAATCAGGACTGAATTCTCGCTCCCCCACGGCTGGAAAGAAACGTCTGTTTCCAGTAAGTCATACTGAGACAAAGACAGATGTGGCGACGCCCTCACGGCTCCTGTGTCTGCTAAGCCACCTTCGGATCCGTAGCGGAAAGGGGGCCGCCCCCTGCCACCTCTGTCCTTTCCTTTGCTGTTGATGAGACTTTCTGTGGCAACCGATTTCACTGGAGCCGCTGACTTGGGGGTGGCTTCCAGCACGCGCACCTGGGAAGCAGGTGAGTTGTCCCTTTTGATACCAGGTGAGGTAGATGACACTGGTGCCACCAGCTGGTCTTCCGACAGAATGACACCTGAAATAAAGAGCAAACAGAAACTTTGTTAGCATCTGAACTGGAGGAACAATGCCCCAGAGCAAGACCTAATAAAAATAAACCAAAAACAGCACCAGCAACAAATGTGATTGGATGCTTATTTTAAAAAACGTCATTTCCACTGTGAAACTGTTCTTGAAATGTCTGTACTTAAAATAATCACTGAGATTTCTGGCTGCTGTTGTGTTGTGGTATCAGGAGGAAGAGCAGTGTGGTTTAAGCAACATTTTGGGGCCTTGTCATCAGAGAGGTCCTGGCTGTGCTGTTTACCAGCTGTGTGACCTTGGGCAAGTTACCTAACCCCTCCGAACCAGGATTTCTCAACTGTGGCACTAACAACATTTTGGACAAGAGAATTCTTTGCTGGGGGAAATATGGGGCCTGGCCTATGCACTGTATTTAGCATGCTGCTAAATATCCTCTATTCACTCAAAGCCAGTAGCAGCTCCACCCCTAGCCACAACAATCAAAAATGCCTCCAGACATTGTCAAATGTCCCCTGGGAAGCAGAACCCCCCAGCTGAGAACCACTGCTCTAAACCTCGCCTCCTCATCTGTAAAAACATCCATACTCTATTACTAAGAGTAATATACCAAGAAACACTCCACGACAGAAACTAGACAATCATGTCAACAGACGCAGAAAAAGCATCTGACAAAATCCAACATCCTTTCATAATAAAAACACTCAAGAAACTGGGATTAGAAGGAACTTCCTAAACCTGACAAAGGCCATCTATGAAACTCCAAAGCTAATATCGTACTTTATGGTAACAAACCAAAAGCTTGCTCCATAAGAACAGAAAGAAGGCAATGAGGCACGCTCTCACTATTTCTAACCAACATTGTACTAGAAATTCTAGGCAGAGCAATTAGTCAAGGAAAAAGAAATAACAGGCAACCAGATTGGTAAGGGAAAAGAAAGAGTATATTTATTCACAGATGTGATCATCTCGAATATAGACAATCCAAGGAAGCCATTAAAAAAACTATTAGGACTAATAAGCAAGGTCAGCGAGTTTGTAGGACATAAAATGAATGTGAAAAATTAATTATATTTCTATACACTAGCAATGAACTATCTAAAATGATATTAAGAACACTATTCCAGTTTTAACATCCGGAAGAATTAAATACTTAGAGATAAATTTAATAAAATAAGTGTAAGACTTGTACATTAAAGAAGTGTAAGCCTTGTTAGAAGAAACTAAAGAAGAGTCAAATCAGTGGAAAGACACTGCACGTTCATGGGTTGGGAGAATTAACATCATTAAGACAAGAATACACCCTGAATCGATCTATGGATCCAACACAATCCTTATCAAAATCCCAGCTGGGTTTTTTTTGTTGTTGTTTTTTGTTTTTGTTTTTTGCAGAGACTGACAGTTCACATGAAAATGTAAGGGACAGAGACTAGCCAAAACAATCTTTTAAAAGAAAAACAAAGTTATAGGACTCACAATTCTGAACTTCATAACTCATTATATAGCTACAGTAATCAAGACGGTATGGTGTTGGCATAAGGACAGACAAATAGATTAAAAGAATAGGATCAAAAGTCCAAAAATTAACCGTTACATGTATGGTCAATTGATTTTCAACAAGGATGCGAGGACAAGATAAGGGGGAAAATTAATTGTCCTTTCAACAAATGGTGCTGGGACAACTGATGAACACATACAAAATGATGAAGCTGAACCTCTTACCTCAGTCACATCACACAAAAAATTAACTCGAAATGGATCATAGACCTAAACGTAAGAGCTAAAACTTAAAACTCTTAGAGAAAACACAGAAATAATCTTCATGACTTTGGATTCAGCAGTGGCTGGGACAACTGATGAACACATACAAAATGATGAAGCTGAACCTCTTACCTCAGTCACATCAGACAAAACATTAACTCGAAATGGGTCATAGACCTAAACGTAAGAGCTAAAACTTAAAACTCTTAGAGAAAACACAGAAATAATCTTCATGACTTTGGATTCAGCAGTGGTTATTTTCATATGACATCAAAAGCCCCAGCAACAAAAGAAACAATAAATAGATAAATCGCACTTCATGAAAATTAAAAACTTTTGTCCTTCGAAAGATCCCACTAAGAAAGTGACAAGACAACTCACAGAATGGGGGAGAAAATATTTGCAAATCATACATCTGAGAAGACACTTGTATCCCAGATATACAGAGAACTCAAACAACAACAAAAAGACAATCCAATTAAAAACTGGGCACAGAACTTGAGTAGACATTTCTCTAAAGATAATTATAATGATGACAACTTCATTAGTCATTAGAGAAGTGCAAGTCAAAACCAGGATGGGATACCATTCCACTCCCACTTGGGTGGCTCTAACCAAAAACATGGACAGTAACACGTGTTGTCAAGGACAAGAAGAAATTGTAACCCTCACACATTGATGGCGGAAATGTGAAATGATGCACCTGCTTTCTGAAGCAGTCTGGCAGCTCCTCAAATGATTAAATATATAGCTCCTAACTGACCCAGCAATTCCACTCCTGTGTATACATTATACCCAGGAGAAATGAAAACACATGTCCACACAAATGCTTGTGCACAAATGTTCATAGCAGCATTATTCAAATAGCCAAAAAGTACAAACAACCCAAACATTTACCAACTTATAAATGGATAAGTAGAATGCGGTATATCCATTCAGTGGAATATTATTCTGCAATAAAAAGGAATGCAGTACTGATAGATGCTACTACTATTTTCAAGGATGAACCTTGAAAATATTATGTTAACTGAAAGAAGCCAGTCAAAAAAGACCACGTATTATACGATTCCATTTATATGAAATGTCCAGAACAGGCAAATCTATACAGACAGAAAGTAAATAGTGGCTGCCTGGGGTTAGAGGAAACAGAGGAGTTGGGGGGTGATGGCTAAGCGACGTGGAGCTTCTTTTCAAGGTAATGAAAAGATTCTGAAATTGATTGTGGTGATGGATACAGAGCTCTATGAAAAACACACACCACTGAACTGTACGCTTGAAAAGGGTCAATTGTATAGCATCTGAATTACATCTCAATAAAGCTATCAAAAAAATAAAGCCATTGAGGCTTTTAACAACAGAAAGAATTGTATACTAGGATCGTGTCTTGTGAGATTGGGCTAAGAAAAGAAACACATTGCTTTAGTGCAGTGTTGCTAAAAAACATTGGGTTTAGTAGGCAGGTAGGGTTCCAGTGCTACCTGTACGTTTGACTTGCTGTAACTCAGAATGAAATGATGTAGCAAAACCTCTGCAGCAATTCACAGTGCAAATAAGAAAAGAAACAATGTTTCCATTGGAATGGGGAAGTTAAAAGGCCGGAAGGGACATTCAAAGGATGTGACATAACTGGTGCTAACAGCTAGAGCACACCTCACCCAGAAGGATATTTAGTCTAATATGGGGGAAAAGGTGTGTGTGTGTGTGTGTGTGTGTGTGTGTGTGTGTGTGTGTGTGTGTAAAAATGAACAACAAACAATATAGTTATGGAGTTGTGTGTGTAAACTAAACTACTGGAAACCTAACTAGAGTGCATTTCATTTCAGTAGTAATAATATAAAGAAAGAATTTGGATAGTCTTTTTACATATTGTTACAATGGACTGTAGCTGAATGATGAATGAAGAAATTTCATTTTAGGGGTTCAGGGCCATGACGCTAATTTCAGCTGTTCTCCAGAAAATGAAATTTTATATTATTCTCAAAATGTATTATTTTCATGCGGCTCACCGCACGAAAATGAGGTAGAGACTGGACAAACAGCAGTGAAATATGGTCAGTAAAATATCACAAGTTGAATGTAGACATGGTATAGAAATTCCGATAAGAGATAATTGAAGTTGAGTTACAGAAATGAAGTTAAAATATAACTATGCAGTCTCGGGTATATTCTTATTTTCAATTAGTTCACTGGTGTTCTACTTTATAAAAATATTTTCCACTTCCCTGAGGATAATGTCACGATAAAGTATGGTGATGACGATGCTCTACCTTTGAGATCTTCCACTGTTCCCTGTGCTGGCGACTCCTAAACAAACGGAAAAACAAACATGAATATACGACCAGGCTCACTGTGTATTTCCAGGCAGGGAGCAGCCCCTGTTTTTCTTAATGGCAGGTGGACAAGAAACAACACAGTGTCCACTCTTCTTGAGCTCCTACAAAACAGGGAGCAAAAATGGATACAGAAATATATAGAAGTGTAGACATCCAACCAAGACGAATGTACTGGGACAAAGGAGAGTTTGCTAATTAAGAAAGGAAAAGGAGAAAGAATAGGGTATGACTTATACTGTAGTGAACAGAGCCCAATAAAGCTCATCTAGAAAAAAGATGATTTATTGACCTTCCAAGAGGCAGGTGTGATTTCACGTGGAAAGCAGTGCAGAGGTGGAGTTAGTTATTCCTGCTGGGAGGCGTTGCAAGTCTGATGACTTCAATGAATGAATGGCAGGCAGGACAGGGAGAGGGCAGGGAAGGCCTGCTCGGGGCTCTCCGGCCAGCGTGGCCACCCAGCAGGAGGTACCCAGCAGAGGAGGCTACACATGTGCTCTGAGCACAGGACTGAGCATTTCTCCTACGGTCCCCAGCACACCCTGCAGGCCATTTCCACACCCTGACACGGGATACCCCACGAGCACAGGGCCAGCGACCACAGCACGACAGTCGCACTCACATTCCAGGTGGGGTCCACACAAAAGTGACAGGAAGAGAGCAGAGCTGGAAAAAGGACCACTCACCAGCGGCCCAGAAGAGTGGCGAGAGTCTGTGCTCTGTGCCCCGGAGCTGCGGTGCAGGCGAGGCGTGGGGCAGTGGCGGCTGGCCTCTTCCTTTCCACCGTGGGGGCCCCGCCTGGCATTGCTAATCCTGCACAAGAAACACAGGAGCAGTGACATTACCAAACAGAACCATGGCTCCTTCAGTGTTAGCCCAAAATCTATTTTTTCCCAGAGTTCATTTTGTCATATTCCTTCTATGAACATATTATTTTTAAGAGAGAGTAATAAACATTCTTTGAAATTGTAGGACATGCTTTCTTAAGGAACTATAAGAAATAATACAAGAATGGCGACAATTACGTTTTTTTTTTTTTTCTAGTCTTAAAATTTAACTGTACATATGTGTGGGGTATGGTGTGTTGTTTCAATACGTACATATATTGGACAATAATTCACTTAGGGTAGATAGCATATGCATCACCTGAACATTTTTCTTTGACTACAATCAAGATCCTCTTTTTCTGGCTATTTAGAAATATACAATATGAAATTGTTATCTCTATAGGACACCAGAAGTTATTGTCCCTATCTACTTGTAACAAATGCTATTCTTTAAAATACGCTGGCATGCTCTAAGCATTTAAACAACAAAATAAAAATACTGAAGTGAAACTTTTTGCAGTGCTAAGTCTAAGGCAAATAAATTTGGGGTCATGGTATAAGGTCACACCGATGCCAGTTAAGCCATCTTGATTATGAATATCAATCTTATGCTTAAGTGTATGCTTAAGTATAAGAAAAGTACACATGTCTATGTCTGCCTACACTAGTATTTTCATAAACGACTAATAAACGAGAAACATTATTTCATTCGAAATTACAAGCTGAGGATCATGACCTGACCCACGGACTGGAAACGTCACCTGGGGCTTTGGGGACTGGCCCTGCGTTCACTGCTGGCCTCTTTGTCTGCGGGCGGCTTTTCTTTCTCTCCGGGGGGCCTCTGCTGGACTACTTCTCCCGCATCGAACATGACGTGCAGACGATAACTGACCAATTTGATGATCGTGAAGAGAACAGTCACTGAACAGCAGTAAAAAAATACAGTGATCGCATTTGGAGGAAAAGCCTGAAGAGGGGGGAAAAAAAGGAAAAATGTATTTGCTTATAAGATTTCCTTTTTGTTTAAAACCGGGAAGCATTTTTGGACTATTTATTGAGCATCATTTGGGCAAGGTTTCAAATGTTACTAGTTCTGTAACTTTGCCTGGTTAAAATACCTGAGGAGAAAGAGCTGGTACCTTATGCTTTTTTAAAAGTCTGTCTTATTCCTCAGGTTCTGTGCTCGTTGCAGGGATGAGCGGCATTTGATGTGCAGACAGGAACCCCACAGAACAAAAGACATATGACGGGGAACCTCTCCATTTCCTATTAGCTCTTTTCTGTGCCTCATCTTGAGTTTCCCATGCATCTGGTCCTAAAGGCCAGAGAAGGGACTGTAAGATGCTGTTTCCATCAACAAAATACAAAAAACCTCGTGGGGAACACACGAAAGAGGGAAGGAGAAAGCCCAGGGTGGCCTCCCGTCCCCACCTCGCTGACCTCCCACGGGCTGACTCCAGCAGGCCATGGGTTTCCCTAGGGTCGTGGTGCGCATAAGGGACTACAAAAGGTCACTGCGTCCAAAAGGAAGGACACTCCCAGCAGAGACAAAGTATCTCAGCACGGAGATCATCGTGGTGAAGTTCACCTCAGTCCTGTCCAATCCCCTCAAGAAACAAAAGAATCACTGGGACCCATGGAACTGTCCCCACCTATCTTCCTAATTCTCACCCAGGACCACAGACCATTGCAGGTTTTCTGTGGTCCTCCCTAAACTAAATTCTTATCCCTCGGGATGGAAACAGATCCCTGACTGTCCTAAGATGATATCGGGAACAGCTTCAGTGTCCAGCGAGACCCTTTTATCAATGGGCCTCCCTGAAAAATCTCAGGAGTCCAGTGACCAGTCTGATGCCTGGTCCTACCTGAGCACCCGTCATCTGGGGAAGACTGTCCTGTAACAGAATAAACAAAAAGAACGACAGAGAAAGAGGAAAAGCTTCCCCAACAAGAGAAAGATGAAGTTGAGGAGCTTTTCACCCACACTTATGCGCTTCTACATTACAGAGAAAAAGCCCACAGATAAACACAAATTAATAAATAAGTGGATGAAGTGGTGAAATAAGATCATATCAGGTAGGCAGGTAACAGATACAGTCAGGGCCCCTACCTGGCAGCAGGTAAGCTTCACATCTACACATGCACCTCCTGAGGTGAGGCTGTAAAGAATCCCAAGTCACACACACACAAAGTGAAAAAAAACAAAGAGGGAGGAAAGAGGTACGGGGACACTAATCACCCCTGTCACTTTTTCCAGGCTAAAGCCAGAGTTAGTTTGAAGAAACTGATAAAAGAAAAGGAAAAACTGCAGCTGTCTGTGAGAACAGATTAGGGAACCGTTATGTACAAACTCCTCACGGAAGTCGCTCGGATGTAAATGTGACTTGGGTTTCGTGGCGCTCCAGCTGGCAGGGGCAGCAAACAGTGCTGGGGCTCACTCAACATTCCGCGTGCTCCTCTGCGCCGCCCGGCCTGTCTTGCAGGTGGGCTGGGGCTGTGTGGCCACTTTTGGCCAATGGACTATGAGTGGAATGATGAGCTGGACGACTACGAGCTGCCGGACTCCCCCACCCCCTCTTCTCCTCTTCTATTTGGGGATCTCAAAGGCCATCTTGTCCAGACAGCACATCCACAAGGTAAGGAAGCTCTCTTCAGCCTGGGGGACTGAGTGACTCTGACTCCCCCACCCCCTCTTCTCCTCTTCTATTTGGGGATCTCAAAGGCCATCTTGTCCAGACGGTACATCCACAAGGTAAGGAAGCTCTCTTCAGCCTGGGGGCCTGAGTGACTCCGTGGAGCAAGGCCCCTACAGGCCCGCAATGGACCCATCACAGGAGAGAGAACTAAACCTCTGATTCTTTCAACCATGGAGATCTTGGGTTTTGCCTGCTATGGAAGCTAGTATTGCTTAACTTAATTAATTAGATTAGTGATAAACTGAGAAAACCCTGAGGCATTGGGAAGAGAACACTAGGGAAGATGGACGAGAGACAGAAGACTATATATGGCTCTTGAATTTCTAAATTCGTTTGGAAATGAACTGACTTGGCACAATAAGGAGACATACTAGTTTTCAGTTCATCCTCATCAATGCTGACTACAGCATAAGCTTGGTAATGTTGAAATTAAGAGAAGGCAAGAAGTTAGAATTTGAAGTCAATAGGAGCATCCAGTGTGCAACCCAGGTGAGCACAGACCCTTGTCTCGTGTAACAATAGTTGACACTTGGTTACACCTGCAGAGAGCCCACAGACCTCACCAGGCTCTAGTGAGATACAGAGGTTTTATCCTGGGAGAGGAAAGGTTTTATAGCATGCTATGCATGGTACATTAACCTCCCCAAATTCCCTGAGCTCATGATTCCTTTAAAAAAACCTCTCCCTTCAGTAGACCCTCCAAACAGAATCTAGCATCGTCCCAAATATCCCTTTTTCCTGCCATGCAGTTGTGCTCTGCCAGGCTCCTCTGATTCAACATTCCAAGGGACATCACTGAACATCACTTTCAAGGCCATTTCACAGCAAACATCATCATGCTCAGTCAACAAAAGACCCCCAGAGTCCAGGATTTGCTGTCCTTGGAGGTATGAATGGGAGGGTAGAGTAGAAAGGCTTAGGAAAGAATGCCTCATGAGTGAGAACTTATGAATTTGTTTTTAATTTGTGTCACATAATCTCCCCCCTCCCCCATGTAAGGTATATTCAGATCTCGAATAGAGGGTTTACTTGTTCTAAGGCAAGTCATAATTCCTTATTTCCATGAACTTATCATTTTAACACATTCTCACTAGCAATAGAAGGCTACGTTTTTCAACATTTTATCCTTGGCCAAAGAAAAGCTGTATGTTGTTCTCTGACCCATTGTTAACATTGTGCTCAAATATATATATACACACACACACACATACATACATATATATATATATAAACATATATTTTACCATCTCGAGCCACTTTTAAGTGTACGGTTCAGTAGCATTAAGGACGTTCACATGTTCGTGTGACCATCACCACGGTCCACCATAAGAATTTCCATCTTCCCAGACTGAAACTCTGTCCCCACTTAACACTGTCTCCCGCTCTTCCCTCCCCTGAGCCCCTGGCAGCCCCATTCCACTTTCTGTGTGCATGCATTGGACTTCTCTGGATACCTCCCATAAGTGGAATATGCAATTATTTGCCCTTTTGTGTCTGTCTTATCTCACTTGGCATACGGTTGAGGCTCATCCGTGTTGAGCACGTGTCAGAGTTTCCTTCCTTTTTAAGGCTGGATAATATTCCATTGTATGGGCAGACCACATTTGCTTATCCGTTCATCCATCAATTGACATTTGGGTTGTTTACACTCTGTGCCCACTGTGCATAACGTTGCTACGAACATGGGTGTACACATACAACTTTGAGGCCTTTATTTCAATTATTTTTGGATATATACCCAGATATGGAATTGCTGAGTCATATGGTAATTCTATGTTTAATTTTTCTTGGAACCTCCACACTGTTTTCCGCAATGGCTGCACATTTCATACCATCC